TATTCATCCTCTAAATATTTATCCATCTCAGATTTGATCACCGTAACTTCCTATCTAGCCATTGCCTCATCGTACATACAATACATCAATTCTTCAGGATCAACATTTACATCTTCCACATTAACCTGACTTGCTTGTTAAGACTATTGACTAGATTGCCCACTTGGAGAATTATAAATGAGCTTGTATTGGTCAAATAAAGAGTACAAAGTTGTATGCACTTTTGTCTTCAAAAGTTCAGCATTAGCATCATCATAGGATTTACTAATAACCCAATTCACATATCCTAACTTGAATCTAGGATCCAACACCACTGCAGTGAATAACATTAAGTTGATGTTATCAATATTTGACCAATATTTATCATGTTTTTCCTTCATTCTCCTAGCCATAGTACTTAAGCCAACATCATTACTTCTACACCATGTTGAAATCTGCATTCCAATGGCAAAGATCTCGCGCATGTATGCATTGCCGGTAACAAAAAGTGAGCCTGACACACATAGAATAGCATCATAAAAAACTTTCAAAAAGGGTAACAAGTAACGGGCATACTCCCAATCACTAGGCATAGGCAAACCCCTTGACTTTTCCCCTCTAGTAAGTTCATCTTCGTACTTAATGTCTTGGATTTCCAACAACTCAAATGCTTTCTGAAATTTTAAAGCTACATCCAACATTAAGTACGTAAAGTTCCACCTTGTTTCTACATCAAGAACCAAAAGATTTTTTTGTTCAATCTTTTCTTGCTCTACACACTTCTTAAACCTTTGTAATCTCATGGAGAAGACTCACTTATCTCACTGCAGAGCGAATTCTAAAAATAGAGTCATCCATGTCTTTTAACCCCCTTTTTATAGTGAGACTCAATATTTGTGCACAACACCTCATGTGCAGAAAGTCACCATTCAAAACAATACCCTTCCAACTTTCTAACCAATTCTAGAGATATTTTATTCCAACATCATTAGAACTTGCATTGTCAACGGTAACGGTGAAAACCTTAGAAATACCCCAATCAAGCAAACACCTCTCAATTGCCTTGCCAATCAATAAACCTTTGTAACTAGCAATTGGACAAAAGTTTAAGATCTTTTTGTGTAATTTCCAATCATCATCAATGAAGTGAGCCGTCAAACACATATAGTTAAGGTTTTGGCAAGATGTCCATGTATTCGTGGTAAGACTTACTCTCTTACTAAAATTACTAAAAAAGGCCTTCAACTTATTTCTCTCCTTAACATAAATATCAAAACAATCTCTAGCCATAGTAATACGAGAGGGAACTTGAAATAGAGGTTATGCATCCCTTATCATATCGCGGAACCCCTCACGCTCTACATGCCTAAAGGGCAACTCATCAACAATGATCATTCTAGCTAGAGACCGTCTGAGCCTATTTGGACTGAATTTCCAAGTTGTAAGTGAAGATTGTGTGGAGGTGGTAGCAGTACCACTTGATTGGTCATGTGATTGTGTTTGTTGAAAAACTAAGATCCTTTGTTTCTTATCCATCATATTCAAAGGGTACTTTTTACATCAACTTAAGTGATTCCGTAGACAACTAGTACCACTTTTACTTGGACATGCAAGCACATTCCCACAATAATCACATGTTGCTGTCGTATCATCCATATTCTCACAAGGATTTACAGTAAAGTGATCCCACATATCAAAAGTATTCTTTCAAGTATTAGAACTTACACGTTTGGGGACTCATGGTGGTCGTGGTTGTGGATCAGGATCAGTAGAAGGCTGTGGGGCTACTAATGAGTTTGGAGTTTGATTCCTACTAGTTGGTGTCTCAGGACTCTCATCAGTATTAGAATGGTCAACAGTCATGGGATTGGATTTGGACATTTGCAACATCAACACAAAGAAATATGTTTTAGTTTGATACATGAAATAATTCTATAAAAACTACCTAGCAGTTATTTGGAAAAGTAAGCCGTAACCCATGGCTTTTAATAAAAGTTATTTCTTGATTAATGTTCCTTTGAGCGGAGCTATTTGTTCCGCCAATGATCTAAATCATCTCATTACTTAATACAATATCCCAATAAAATCTTTTAGAACTATATCTAATTCTTACAATATGTAGACTACTTTCACAAATATTCTTACTCTTTCCTAATCTCCCGAACTTGAAACAATTCAAAAGAAAAAAGAGAATTTGAAAGAAAACTTCTTATTCCATACAAAAATCAAATCAATTATCATCAATGAAATTGAGTGCGACCAAATCTGGTCATTCTGGCCGGAAACAAATGAAAAACAATTTGTTGGTTGCAAGGTCCTCAGACTGCGATTACCATCCGAAACAACTCTCAAAGTAAATCTTAATATGGCTCAAGTACTCTTGCAGTTTTGGATGATACGATTGTGTAAAGATGTATAAATGTTGTGGCAATGCTGTTTTTAAGGATTGATACTAATACATAACTTATTCATCATATAACAGAGTACAAACATCAGCTTGAATATATAGAATAAATCCAAATGACTGCCATGGTATTCTGCTTGTTACATATAGTTTCTACAAAGAAGATATATCTTGTTTTCATTACATTCATCTAATTATAAAGACCAACTTCAATAAGAATCAGTGCTACAAAGGATAGATAAATGTTAATTTGTCTCCATGAAGCTGAATCTTTCTACTAATTAATGATCTTGTTCCCCACTAGGGAAGATAAATGTTCATGTGCCACAGAATCTAACAAACATAATGAAATCAACATTTTTCGCTGCAACTGAAACATCAAGCTGGAGATTTCCAATATTAAGCTGTAACTTCAGCAAGTATCATTCATCACATTTTACATATGAAAATTATTATTGTAAAGTAGTTAAGAAATTTAGTAAAGATGAAAAAGATGGAAATATGTTTCTTAATGTAATATTCCTCTCTATCTCTCTTCTTTATTTTTTTTGGCTTGAAACCATAAATTAAGACATGACATTTGCCTAAGGGATAAACTACAAGGTGCAGGGGAGTCTACATAGTGGAAGGAGCTTCGGAGTCTAATGATTTAAGGAATCGTACAAAGTCCGCAATGAAAAGCTTCTAGTGCTGTAAAACTTTTTGACAATCAATAAACTTTTTGAAAAAGCCCAGATCTCTAATATCTGATCTCTGGAAGAAGACAACGAAGCTGAAGCTGAAAAATGAAAGCTATTGGAAGAAATCACGAACTTGGTCTGCTGCGGTGCTGCTGCTGCCTGCTGGAGCTAGAAGAAAATAAGGAAGTTGTTGCTTACTGGAGCTGGAAGAAGGAGAAGGACGAAGTTGCTTTGCTGGAGCTGGAAGAAAGATGACAAATATCGGGAATTTGGGAATTGAGAAAAAAATTTTGGGTTGGGATTTTAGATTGAGTGAATTAGGGATTTATTTTAGTTTAGGTTAAGGTTATATATATTTGAAAACTGGTTTTCGGTTAACCGTTTCTAATTTTTCCCGAACTGGTAGCCGAACCAGAAATTCGGTATTTTGCATTTTTTGAACCGTAACCGAACCGTTTTTTCGGTTAACCAGTTTTTCGGTTCGGTTTTTGCATTTTTTTGAACACCCCTACTTACAAGTACCCAAGGCTTGCCGTAACGACAAATGGGTGGCCAAAAGGTTTAGAATCAACAAGTAAGTACTTTTCGTTCTGTACTATTAGTGATTTGCGTTTCATAAAGGCCAATACAGTAATTTTGTACAACCATCAAACTTTTAACTTTCAAATTATCACCTCAATATCTGGAGCGAAACTTCTTTTAGAAGATTCACTTTAGAGATTGACACATGTCCCATTAAGTTGACTTTGCAAAAAATCAAATAAACCAAAATAAAGCAAAACTTTTGGCTTGCCTCTTCGTTTCCTTCTCATTTGTCTCTAACTCTCTAAAAGAAGCTTTTGAACGAAGCTGCTGCCATTGTTTGGAGACCATCATCGAGACAGTGAAATGGAAACCGACGACAATGGAGGAGTTAAAACCGACGACAGTGTCAAAGTAAGTTCACTAAACGGCAATGAATCCTAAACGAAGACGATAGACGACGTCTAAGGGAGAGAATCGTGGGGCAACGACGATGGTGGAGATGACTGAACTAAGGCCAGCGTTATTAATAGTATAAATCATCGACGACGACCGAACAACAAAAATTGAAGGGTTAACTGAAAGTTTCTTCTTGGTTTTCTTGTTTGTTCTTCGATTTTTTCTTATTTTAGTGCACTTCTAAGTTTTTGGTTTTTCTTATTTGTTCTTTGTTTTTCTTACTTGCATGTTTGGTTGTTTTTAAATTTTTTTGTTTGTTTGTTTGGTTTAGGGTTGTGGGGTAACGATGACAATGGAGGATGACTGAACTAAGGTCGACGATAATGTGTAATGAACGTTCTTGGTTTTACATGTTTGGTTGTTTTTAAGGTTTTTTAGGTTTATGGAAAGAGTACCTTGTATGTGCAGAGGTGGAGAATAATGGCTCATGGGGCTTCTTTCTTAGACTATTGTATGATTTTTTGGGTGATTTAGAGCATGTTACATTCATGAGTGACAGGTAAAAGGGTATTCTAAATGCACTAGAAGCAAAGTAGCCAAATGCAAGGAGTCGATTTTGTGCTCGGCATTTGCATGCAAACTTCAGAAAAAAAATTCCTGGGGTTCACATGAGGAAATTGTTTTGGGCAGCGAGTAAGGCTACAAACAGACCAGATTTTGTTAAGGCCATGGAAAGTGTCAAGGATGTAGATAAGGGTGCATACAAATGGTTGCTTGAAAATGAACCAGACCAATGGTCCAGACATGCGTTTGACACAACAGCAAAGTCAGATCACATAACTAACAACATGAGTGAGTGCTTCAACTCATGGCTTGGTGAAGACAGGGAACTTCCTATACTAAGTCTACTGGAACTTTACCGACATAGGGTAATGAAGCGGTTACAATGTAGATTGAAAGTTGGTACAGAGTGAATTACACCTCTTCCACCAGTAGTTCACAGAAAGATAGACAAGATGATTGAGGCAGCTAGAAATGTCAAAGTCCGGTACCCTGGATCTGATGAGTTTGAAGTAGATGATGAGAATGTAAACCCATGTAAAACTCATGTTCTAGTTTTGGGTAAGCACTTGTGTGATTGTGGGATGTGGCAACTATTGGAAATTCCTTGTGTTCATACTATTGTCTATTTGTTACACAAGAACATTTCCAACTATGAACATTATGTTGATCCGAAGCTTAGAATTCCGATGTACCTGCAAACTTATGCATACATGGTCCACCTTGTTCCCAACAAGACTGGTTGGCCAGAGGTTAGTGATGAATATATTTGGCCACCATACAGGCGGCCCAAGGTTGGCAGACCTTCTAAATCAAGAAGGAGAGATCCAAATGAAGAGCCAAAATCTAAAAGGGTCTCTACACTTAGGTGTAATGTCTGCAGTGTCTTGGGGCATAACAAAAGGTCCTGCAAAAAAAATCCAACAAATGTAGATAAAAGGAAGAAGCACAAGGTAATAGAAAAAATGTCAATTTCATCATATTTTCTCTTATAATATTGATTTCTATTTTTTTATGTGTAGTGAACCTTTGTGTCCACAATGACTGCACCCTTTTCAGGAGCTCGATTTGCAGCAAACTTGTCCCAAGCTTCAAGTTCAAGGGGTACTTACAACTATTTCAAATCATATAATATTTATGTCAACTACTTTTTACCAATATTTTAAAAATCGACCCGGGACAAACTCAGCAAGATGGCCAGGTCCCGGGTCGATTGGTTTAACCAGCTGGTTCAACCGGTGATGTCATCATACTGATGTCAACATGGTGATGTCATCAAAAACATTGTTCACAGAATCCACTTATTTCCCAAATTTTGCTGCAAAGTCCAAATCATAAACTCCAAAATAAAAAAATCCATAGTCAAGCATCATCAAACATCATTACATCAATAATACAACAAATTACAAATCAAAATAACAAAATAAATGAAGAAAAATCACATAATAGTTGTTTCAAGTTTTCAACTTCCAAGTCAACATTTCAACTTTCTAACAAAAAATGATCTTCACCAAATGGTCTTCAATCAATCAATCCATCATTCCATCCTCAATTAAAATTGACAATTCACACACCACATGATGCGACATCATCTACAAAAAATTCTAGCAAAAAAGGAAAACCATAAGTTAAATCTTCCCATTTAAACTAATTGAATATAAACTAGCTAATACCAAATTGAAATTGCTTAAAAAATTGTAAATAACCTTCTGAAGCATTTGTTGAGTCATAATAAGAAGGGTGATCACCACCATCTATAGGTATAGCTCATTCTCCATATAATGATTGTTCCAATTCATCATAATTAAGCTCACCAACCTCCTCTTCCTCATCAATTATCCACCATTCAGTTTTATCAATACTCTCATAATCAATAGGATCATATGTAATTTTCTTATAACAACTCCTGAAATAGCAGAATTAAATATTCAAATCAAGACCAATAAAGACATTAATAAAAATAACAAAATGAAGAAGACTTTATACCTATTTTGCAAATGCAAGTTATAATGAGTGGAAACCAAATCATTCAACTGTGGATGCTCCAATCTATTCCTCTTTTTAGTATGTATGCGTTCAAAAACACTCCAGTTTTGCTCACATCCGGAAGAGGCCGAAGTTTGACTTAGAATTTTGATTGCAAACTTTTGCAAATTTGGAGCACTAAACCCAAATGTCCTCCACCATTCATCTAATTGAGAATAAAAGTATCAATTACATAAGAAATAAACACAATTTCATAACTTAAAAATTAGACTTAAAAAGTTAATAACTATTACATACATGGCCGTGTAGTTTTGCAAGTTTGAAGAGCAAGCTCACGAGAAAAGCTTTCTAGACGGTCTCGATATAATCTACTCTCCTCCAGTAATGTTGTCTTGCTCATTTTGAATACACTTGCTTTATTGTCAATAGTGTCAAGAAAATCATACATGATCTCAGGTTTTTTGGAAAAAAGTATCTTCGTCATATTTAAAAGCAAGATTCAAATAATATGTTGTTGCATGAATATCACGAGACAACATCCTATCCCAACGCATCTTAATAATTGTTGTATAAGGGTTGTACAAATTTTTCTTATTCTTAAACAGCTTCTTGATCCCCATCCTTGTTCTGTACATGCCATCATACACATATCCTATTGAAGGCCTCTCATCTGAGTCTACAATCTGGAGCATACACATCAATGGACTCACAACTTTGGAAATTATACCAATGTCATCCCAGAACCGGTTATCTAGAATTATGGAAATAAAGGCTTTGCCTTTATTAGTTTTTTGCATATCGAGACTCCACAAAAGTTCTATCTGTCACTGTAGATTGCAAGTCATGTTTGTGCTGATGTAGGTTGCCCAATGCAATGAAAGTTGTGGCAAAACGGTTTGCACCTAGGCGTATAATTTCTGTCCAACCCTATTCAAGAGACAATAAATGTTAGTACTTGGTAAATGATTAAAAAGTGTACATATATAATATGTCTTGACAATGTAAATTATAAACATATGAAGTAAAGGTATATAACCTGTTTTTTCCTCAGCAAAGCTAGCACAAAGGAATAATTATACACAAACTTTCTAATCTCAGATGCACGTGTCGAAAGGTTGATTATATGAATCGTCTCAGCTATGTCTTTCAACATCAAATTAATGCAATGTGCTGCACAAGGAGACCAAGTAATATTGCTATATTTTTCAGACAACATTCTTCCAGCAGCTTTATAATTTGCTCCATTGTCAGTGACAAGATGGACAACATTGTTTGGTCTAACCCATAAAGCTATTTCCTCAAACAAGCTAAACAATGTTGCATCATCCTTTACAACATCTGAAGCATTCACTGATTTCACAAAACACACTCCTTTAGGACAGTACACTAGAAAATTAATCAGCGACCTATGTGAATTATCTGTCCAACCATCAGCCATTAAAGTACATCCAATATCCTCCCAAGTTTTCTTGTAACCATCAACAAGTAATTGCACTTCTTTCCTAGCATCTCTTAATAAATTTACACGCAAATTATGATAAGTTAGGATTTTATGCCCAGGACCAATTGCAGCTATAGCATCCGCCATAGGTTGAAAATAAATTGAATTAATAACATTAGTTGGGATGCAAGAATCATAAAATAACCTTGCAACAGCCATGTCCACCCTCCATTTAGCTTCTTTTCTGGCTAAAATACTTTTAATTGAGAGCTGAGACCGAGACTTAGTCCTCGGAGCAAAATAGTCACCTATCCCAATAAATCTTTTTCTCTTAGTGCTTGAAGTTGAAGTTGGAGCTGGAGCTGGACATGGAGAAACCTCTTCACACTCTTGATCTTCATCTAACATATCACCCTCAAATTGTTGTACACTAGCTCCATAAGGATTGACATCCTTGTGAAGTTCAACTTTTTGTTTATTCTTGGCCTTAATTTCATTTAGTGCTTCTTCAATCTTGAATTTAACATCGAAAGGAACTTTAGGGCACTTTCCAACTTCTTCCTTTACACCCGCTAGATGCAATTTCACTCGATAAATTTCTCCACCTCTGATTATCTTGCCACAGTAAAGACATGTTAATATCTTCTTCCCATTTTCATCCACGCCCTCATTAACATGTCCCCATGCTATATCATTTCTTCCTCGAAAAGTTTGAGAAACATCCATGGAAGCAGATTGTTGACAAGACCCAGATGATGATATATTCTTTGTCTTTAATCTTGATCTGTACCCTGGCAACACAAATAACAAATAAGTTTATACCACTTATCCACAATTTTTTACAGAATTACATGTATTCAAACAAATAGTTCCATAATGAACTCCTAAATCTCTAAAAAAAGTGGAAGGGACAACACATGCATAGGTTCTACCTACATTGTATTATCCTCCACTTTTACTGTTTTACATGTTATGCCAAATAGGCTTTGGCCAGAATCAAAGAGCTTCAGTGATGAAGGAATGGGTCCAGTGCCAAAGAAGTGGCAAGGAATCTGTCAGACTAATAAAAGAGATGGAATTCGATGCAACAGGTCTTTTCTCTTTGCTTCTTTCAACTATCTTCCAACCAACTTTTACAATGTCCGGATTTTACTTGATGAGACTTTGCCCCCAATGTATAATATCATGAGATTTTTGCATTATAAGACTTGGAGTTTTCCTAGTTATTGGTTTAAAACAAAAGGGAAAACTATCACTATATCTTATTGAAACAAAGTGATAGTTTTCATTTTTCAACACAACACCACCGCTTCTGCCTAAAGTACCAACAATTCAAAATTGGTTCACCAATCAAGTTAAATCCTATAGGTTTGAATGAATTCAATAACTTTTACAAAACAAAAATTAAATAAATAAATAATGGATACAGAACTTTTACTACAATTAGGATCAGAAAGGCCGAATCATTGTCATTAGTTCTCCCTTCAAAATGTAAAGCATGTTCACTAATCACTAGGCTTCAATTTACCTGAGAGCAGCATGCTTCCCGATGGAAGCCTGCTACATTGCAAACTAAGACATCTCAATCTCATGCACAAGACCTGAAACAAAGACATATGCCTACATCGTGACAGTTACCTGGTGGTGGTGAAGATGAGCTACCGTTCGTTGACTGTCGGGGAGGTGGAGCTCGGCTGTGAACAAGGCAACTATGAAGAGCTGAGTCCTGAGATTCAAGCAATGTGAAGAAGAGTGTGTGCAGCTCCGAGATCGAGATCGACTGTCCACTGTGCAGCTCTGGGAAGAATGACGACGATGGATGTCAGACGTAGATCGGCGGTGATGAAGAGTGTGTGAGGCCAGAGAAGATCGCGAAATGGGAAGAGATTCGCGGTACCCCAACTGACGACGAGTAAGCCGTTGACGGTGAAGGAAAATGGGAGGAGATTCGACGGTGAAGGGAAGACTCCAGTGGTAATTTTCAGAGTGCAATGTTCAGCTTCAGACTTTCAAAGCAAAGGGTGGGAAATGTCGTGAAAAGGGAAGGGGGAGGGGGGAATGAGGGAAATGTTAGATATTTGGGGTTTACTGTTCATTAATATATATTATAATAATTATATAATTAAAAATTTAAATGACCCGAGTTTTTTAAATTTGGCGGTTGGACCTATGGGTGCTACAGTGCAGCGGTCCAACTGCCGGCGTTAACAAACAGAGTGAAAATGTCAGTTTTGAGGCTTACCCGGCTTGGCTCGCCAGCCGGGTCCCAGTTCAACCTGTCGGGCCGGACCGGGTTTTAAAACATTGTTTTTTACCTTCGCTAATGTTATTCTTACTTCTCTTAATAGGTCAACCAAGTCAATAATGCAATGGGGAAGTTCTTTTGTTTGTTGTAGCAGTAGTTTGTTTTTGTTTCTATCATTTTTTTTTTTTTGGTACTTTGATTATCCTATTCTAACCCATTGTTTCTATACCTTGTTCAGTGTTTTGAACATGTTGCTTAGTCAACTAAATGCTTTTTTGCCACCTGGACCTCTAACACAACAACTAAGAAGAATAGGTGTGTATTATTACTTAGTTGTAATGTGACATGTTCATGTGCAAGATTATTAGCAGTTGAATTATGGGAATCTGATGAAACACCTGATGTGTTGGAATGGGTAGTAGAGGATTATTTGTAGTTGGGCAAAAGTGTTCCTAGGCGTGTGAATGTTGAGGAAAAATTATGTGGGATAGGTGGGAATTCTGTCATGTTGAGATTCTGAATAGGATAAAAAGGAGTAAGGGAGAATTGGGGAGGATATTCTGAAAAGTGAAGAGTGGAAAATAGGGGAGGATATTCGAAGTCTTGCATTATTTTTATCTCTTTTTGTCTTAGTTTTGCTTTGTTGCTCTTTATCTGTGTCGTTGGATTGCATTTTGTTGTTTATTATCCTTGTATTGGCTTGCTGGTTGGGTGATTTATTGGTTGTTGGTTGCTATATTTTTCTGGGTTTCTTGTCTGATTGCTCTAGTTTATTGGTTGCTGATTTGTAACAACTACTTTCTTTCTACCAGATTCATAATATCGATTAATAAAAAGATAGCATATTTATCAAAACAAGTTGGGCCCAAAAATTTCCTTTACTTAGTAATCACATTCGTTACAAAACAAAACATCATATGTACAAGGACTTTCGAAACAAAACAAAACAAGGGATAGTGCAGCCAAATCTCCCCGCTTTCCGACGTCCATCCGACCAAGTCCTCACCTATTTCCTGTACAACAAAGAAAACAACGGAGTGAGCACAAAGATGCCCAGTAAGTAAAACAGTCTCTTACGCTATCATCCCCGTGCATTACTCATCAATTCTCTTTGTATTCTTATCAAAATTCTAATTCAACTTCTCATTTTTCTTTCTTTTCTTTTCTTTCTATTCTGTTCTTTTTTTTTTCAATCTCATACCGCCTTCCTCATGGCGGAAACCGCTCTCTCTCTCATAGCGGTTTACGTGTATCCCGCTCTCTCATGGCGGAGTCCGTCTTTCTCATAACGGATCACATGCATTCCGCTCTCTCATGGCGGAGATCGCTCCTTATCATAGCGATTTACAAGCACTCCGCTCTCTCATGGCGGAGGCCGTTCTTTCTCATAACGGTTTACATGAGGATAACTCTATACTTACGAGTTCCCCATCGCACAACCTAGTTTCTTTTCTTTTCTATAGCACTTAAGAATCATTTTATCTTCTAGTGCTAGTTCTTTCTTTCTCTTTACTCTAAGAGAATTTGTTCTTTTCTTTATTATAGATTCATAGAGTATTTCTTTCTCATTTCTCATATTCTTTCTTATGTAATTATTCAATTAAACATATGCATATGGATGACTCATGCATAAAATTTCCTTATATGCATTCATGACATGCAAATATGCTACGTTGCATAAGGTAAGGTTCTCTAATTCTACTTATGCTTCTTTTAGGCATTCATCAAACAATATGTGTGCATACATAAACTCTATTCTAACTTAATCATATTTCTTTCTTAACCATCCAAAATTGGAGTTCAACTCCTTTAATAATCACACATCCTGCAAAGAGAAACACACTTCAAAAATTCCTCTCAATTACTTCTAATCTACCCATACTTCTACCACAATACAACACAATCCACCCCCTCATGGTGGAAAATCCTTCATGTACAAACATTGAACCCATTCATGAATTCATCAACTCATTTAACATAAACATTCAAGCATTTCATGGATCTAAAACTCTCTACACATCATTCAATCAAGTAAATCACAACTTAGATGAATTTACATACCTTGGACACAAGTAGAACCCACTTAAACTCTCCACTCTTGATGGCTTAACACTTTCTCTTAACCTTCAATACAAAACTTAATAAGGATCCCATTCTTTCAACAAATGAAAATTTGCTTCTAGAGTAAGGGATCTTACCTTTTAGTACTTAGGATCAATTTGTAACAATCTAGTCAAAAGCTCTTCAAGAATCCTTGGAATCTTGGATGAAAAATTGAGAGAATAGGGGATGAAAGAGGCGGTGGAACAAAACAAAATGAAGGGGTTTCTAAAGCTAACCCTTAATATCACTATTTTCTCCACTCTTTCCAAAATACCCTTACTCACTCTTTGAAATTCATTTAAGACCTTCATCTTTACAAAACAAACCCCAATCAAACTATTCTCCATGATTTCTTACAATTCACTCCCCACTTTCCTGTAAAAAGGGGTAAATGGTCATTGAGTCTCAAAAGAAGAAATCTCAAAAACTCAAAGGAAACATTCAGCTGGTCTTGCACGACGAAGCTATTTTCTTCGCCTCGGCGAAAACTCACAGAGGCCACGGGTTGAAGTACTCCCTCTTCGCCGCGGCGACAAAACTCCTTCGCCCCGGCGAAGACTATAACCCTAAAATTTTGCTAATCATACTAACCTTCAAGGAAAACACTCAACCAAACCAATACACCTTTTCATCCAAGGATAAACCAAACACACAAAAACATACAGCTTAACTAAGGATAACTCGATAACAACTCGAACCATTCTCAAATCTTAACTACGTACCTCAAGTGGGGTGTTACAATTCTCCCCTCCTTAAAAGAATTTCGTCCCCGAAATCAGACAAACAACTCCGGGTAACGGCTTTGCATGTCTGCTCTGTCTCCCAAGTGCTTCTTCAACTTATAGTTTCTAAAGGACTTTCACTAAAGGATACTCTTATTCCGGAGCTCTTTAATCTTCCGGTCCAAAATCTGAACTAGACGCTCTTACACAAGACCTTCCACAATTACATTCTCTGTATTCAACACATGGGAGGGATCACTTACATATTTCCGTAACATCGAGATATGGAAAACATCATGCACTTTGTCCATGCTAGGTGGTAGTGCCAATCTAGGCCACCTTCCCCACTGTTGCAACACTTCAAATGGACCAACAAATCTCGGTGTAGCTTCCTTTACTTCAAAAGCATACCCGCTTAAAGGGGGAAACTTCAAGAAAACTTTATCACCCACCTTGAATTCAACTTCCTTTCTCTTCAAACGGCATAACTTTTCTGTCTATCTTGGGCTTGTTGCATTCTGTCTCTAATCAGCTACATCTTCAATCAGTTTCTGAGTCATCTTTGGCCCAATGGCTAATTTCAGCTCATCCTTCTCACCTATTTCATCCCAATGTAGTGGAGACCATACTTCTACCATACAAGGCCTCATACGGTGCCATCTTAATCGTCGATGATAACTGTATTGTACGCAAACTCCACTAAGGGCAGCATCTCATGCCAGGATACTCTATACAATACAGCAAACTCGCAACATATCCTCAAGCACTTGATTTGTTTCTCTGTTTGTCCATCCGTTTGAGGATGGTAAGCGGTGCTAAAAGCCAATCTAGTACCCAGGTTCCTCTGTAAGCTCAGCAGAAAGGGAGATAAATCTAGAATCTCTGTCTGAGATTATCGTCTGGGTACCCCATGAAGTTTCACTATCTCTCTGATATAAACTGGGCTAGTGATTGAAGTAGTTGCTTCTTTCACTGGAAGGAATGGGCTGATTTTGTCAATCTATCCCACATCACCCAAATGGCATTAAAACCTCTCTGAACCCTAGGAGACACAATAAATCCATGAGATACTCTCCCATTTCCACTCAGAATACTAAGTGGTTGAAGCAATCCTGATGGCCGTTGATGTTCTGCTTTTACTTGTTGACAAACCAGGCATTTAGCTACAAACTCCGCAAAATCATTCTTCATACCTGGCCACCAGTAGCCTTTCTTTAGATCTTGATACATCTTGGTGCTCCTGGATGAGCAGTGTAGGGTGTGTCATGAGCTTCCATAAAAATTCTCTCCTAACTCCTTATCTTGAGGGATGCACAACCGATCCCTAAACGGAGACACCCCTACCAGGTGGAACTCTGGTTTCTCATTCTTATGCACTCTTTGCAGTAACTCCTGACACCACTTACAACCACTTGCTTTTCTCTAATTCGTCCATAGGTGGTGATTTGAATCTAACCTGGCAATCCTCCTTGAACCACTTCAATTTGTTCTTTATACAACTCATTATTAGCTCTCTCGACTAGTGAGTCGGGCTAAATGAGCCTTC